TCGTCATAAAAGGAAATAAGATTAGTCAAGTGAACATTTTAGAATGTAGTAAGTTAGGAAAATATTTCATGTTCTTCTTTCAAATATAAGATATATAGGGATTACTCAGAAATGCTGATTTTTGCCTACCAATACTAATACTCCTAGGCTAAAATTATTCTTTGTGAATATCCCCTTTTAACAGTCCTGTTCTCTCTATAATGCTACAAAATTGCTCTCTGGTTGTGTAAGACTTTAAGGAAACATAATAAAAATTAAGCAATCTGAAGATACTATTTCATGTGAAAATTAACTGTTATACTTTTCTATTTTCTTACATTTTCAAGCTGGTAATTGAGAGCTGTAATGGCAGACACAGGAGATGGACCACATTTGGCAGAAGATCAAACAGATGCAAAATCTATTATTGGTTCCAAAGGGTAAGTGAGGTGCTTTTGGTTTAAGTCTTCAACTTAAGCCTTGAGGAATCTTATGCCGTAACAGAAGGCAAAAGCCATAGAAGAAATAATGCTAAAAGGAAAGGTTTCAATTATGACAGATTACAATAATCATAAACACCTCTTAGAGATCTGGTACTGACTTTGAAAATACACAGTTCCTGACAGGTCAGGTTATGTTCTGTACAAGGAACTAAAAAGCAAAACACCTGATGTGCAGTTCAGTTTGGCTTAACAGTATCATCAAGTGCACCAGACTTCTCTGTCTCATCTTGGGCTAAATGTTCATGCCTGTGCCAGCCCGTTCAGCTGCTTGAGCTGACCTGCTCTAGGGTTATACGTGCAGTAGCACAAGTGCAAGGGGAACTTACAGGGGTGGAAGGGAGGAAACGCAGGCCTGTTCTTCCTGGTGACAGCTTGTTATGCTGGTGTAGCAGTTTTATCCGATTATGCTCTCTCTGGGAACTGAATTTGTTTCTTAAGTCGTTGTTTTTAGTATTTCAATAAGAATTAGATTTAAGAGCCTTACAAGCTTTTTATTTGTAGAATACAATGTAACAGCCAGCCCCAGTCTTGTAACCATTTACCCATGTGCTTACATGAGAAAATCCATACAGACCTCAGCATATATGGGCTGAGTAAAATTGTCAGCAGTTTCAGAGTCATAAGTGGTGGTGTAATTGGTGTGCACATTAAGGCAGAATTATAGCTGCATGTAGAGTCTTGGTCATCTTGTAGGTTTTGAATGTTTACTTGTGAAAATATATGTGAAAATATGACTTTGGTTGGAATTCAGAATATATTTACAGTCCTAGAGCTGATCTTGCATCCAGGTACATAGCTTTCAAAAGTTGATTATAAAAAAACTCAACTGATTTCTTCTTGATATTATCATTCATTTCCTTAAACTATTTTTCTATATTCTCCTATGCAGGACATTATTTTAGGTAGTTCTTCCTTGATTCTTTAAAGTTTAAGCTTATTACAAATTGCACAAAAGTTTATTACAAATACAAAACTCAGTAACCCCAACTGTCTCATTCTGGCTTCATAGGAAAGGTGCTACTCTAGACTCTGGTCTAGAGGTTTGTGTCTTTAGGTCTAAAGGTCTGTGTCTGTCTTATGTTGGGGCCCCCAGAGCTGGATGTAGTACTCCAGATGTGGTCTAACAAGAGTAGACTAGAGGGAGAGGATCTCTTCCCTCGACCTGCTTGTCACACTTCTTTTGATGCAGCCCAGGATACCGTTGGCTATTTGGGCTGCTAGCCCATGTTACCAGCTCATAGTCCTTTTTCATCCACCAATACCCTCAAGTCCTTCTCTGCAGGGCTGCTTTCAATCCAGTCATTGCTCAGCCTGTATTTGTGCTTGGGATTGCCCCAGCCCAAGTGCAGGACCTTACACTTGGCCTTGTTCAACTTCATGAGGTTCGTATGGGCCAACCCTCTAGCCTGTCAAGATCCCTCTGGATGGCATCCCCTCTCTAGAGTATCAACCACACCACTCAGCTTGGTGCCGTCAGCAAATTTGCTTAGGAAACTTGTAGGGAACAAGTAGCAAACCTTACCAGTTTTATTGGTTTTGCTAAAATAACTCTTATTTTATTATTATTTTGAAACTATAGAGATGAAAGGTCGGAAATTAACACTTAAAGTTTATCTGATTTCTATACAGAAAGAGCCTACCTCCTAGCAAGTCTATGGACTCAGGAATTCTGCCAGACTACAGTTACAGAATGGATTATCCAGAGATGGGGGAATGTGTAATAATAAACAATAAGAACTTTCACAGACAGACTGGTACCACTTTCAATTTTTTATGTTTTTTTCCTTAATTCAGTTAAATTAGTGGCATGTATGATTATTCAAAATTAAATGTGCAGACCAATTTTGAATACAGTCTAAGTGATTTGAATGGGTGTCATTCATTTCAGTGTGTTCCTCCAGGTATGCATGGAGGGAAAAAGTTAGGGTACAGCAGTAATGGGGAGAAGAACTGATTGGCAGTACAAGTCAGTCTTACTTTTTAGTCAGGATTTCTGTTTTGCAAATGAAATCCTTTTTAATGTTTTTGTATAGATAGGTAGATATAAAAATAAGTAATAAACCTAAAAGATAGGTACAGAGGGAGAGAGATGGTGTTCATGATAACAGCGCAATGATTTTTCTGTTAGAGTGGACCTGGAATAATGGAATAATATTCCAGACTGATATAGGTATAAGTGAGAAAATAGTTTGGCTCAATCTGACCATGCTGTCTATATCATATGAAAAAATTAATACTTTTCTCTTACATATAGGGATGCTACCCCGTTCAGGTACAGATGCAGATGCTGCAAGTGTCAGAGAAGTTTTTATGGAGTTGGGATATAAAATAAAGATCAACAATGATCTTTCATGCACCGCCATTTTTAAACTCTTGAAAAATGGTAAGTAATGATATGTTCACTGTGTGTAGTAAATCAACCACTATTTCCAAATATATCTCTAGCCCTCACATCTCTTCTTCCATGGTTCTTTTAGATGATATTTCACACCTACCAGTGGTTTATTGCTAAGGAGGACATGTACATCATAGTTTCTGTGTTTATTCATCTTTGCTGTCTCTCCATCTTTTATGCCATGACTGTTGTCTCCATATCCTTTCTCATCTTCTAAAGAAGGCTGGAAAAAAAGGCTGAAAATTAAATGCAGACTGATTTATATTCTGACCCTGGGATCACTGAAGCTCTGTGAGTTGGAAAGAAACCTGCTTAATTGGGTAGAGGGTGCTCTATGCTGTGCTGTGCTATGCTATATGCTTAGTGCTGTGGCCCAAGAGGTGGTGTGATCCAGGAGGAGCTCTGATGGAGGGACAAGAACTGCAAGCATGTGGACTGGGTTATTCTTTTAGAGAGGTAACTCATGTTTTGTTTGACTTTTGAAACAAGACATCCTTCTGTCAAGTGAGAGCTTTATACTACTGTTTGTGTTAGTCCTTTGTTTGGACTTGGCTAGCTCTAGACCAGTAAATTAATGATGCCTGGAGGTATCTGCAGCCCTGGAACACAGTCTATTCCAGTTACCTGTTGGAAGGCTCTCTGGCACGGCTGTGGCTCATGCCCACAAGCACTCTCCCAGAGTGTTCCTGGTCACAGTTCAACGGTAAAGGTGTTCCAGCGATTATTCCTAACAGCCTGCAGCAATCCTATTTGTTGGGGTTTTTTTTAATGTGTTTGTTAACATGTAGGTGCTTTAGTGCCAGTTAATGTTGATGCCAGAGAAGGCTCCTAGGCGTTGTATTAGTATAGTTGCAGCCTGTCTGTTGACAGTAGCTGAAAGTAGAAAGTCAGATTCTCTGACTCATGGCCTCTGTCTTACTTGTGATAGGCCTCCAAATGGACAGTGTAAACTACAGACTGCATCCTAACTAGAGATTCAAAAAAAACAGCCTTCCCTGACTTCTAGATGCAGTGATTGTCCGTAATTAATAGAAATGCCTGAGTGTGCTTTGCTTGATAAAAATGTAAATAGTTCAGTTTTTCCAGAATAGAAATTAAGTGTTTTGGCAAGCTCTAAACAGAAGACTTCATCTTTTGGGACTGTTATACTTCTCATCTACACTCCTGCACCTTCTAGAGTTTCCCACTCAGAATTCCTTTTGAATCCTTTCTTTTGAGCTATGTTTGTATCTTTTCATGTATTTAAAAGAATCATCTTGGTCCTCAAGTACAATCCCACAATATGATGCAACAAAATACATCAAAGGATATCTGTTCTATTCTCTTTGCATACTACAAGATGAAAAAAACTCACAGATCTCACAAACTTATCAAGCTTGTATGTCTTTAAGTACAAAATTCAAAGTCTTTAAAAATCTAGACCTTGCTACAGGGCAGGAGTGAGAGAGAGGAGTAATGCTAGTACCTAGATCCTTGCAGCAGCAACAACTTTGATGCTGCATTCAGTTCCGTTGTAGTCCAAGGGAAATCCAAGCTGAAGCATCTCTGATTGGAAAGAGAGGAAAGACTTCTCTGTCCTTTCCCAAAACTCAGAACTTCCCATCAGTCTGATCCTCGATCACAAGACTGTTGAGCATTACTGTGTGAGCAAGGGGGACCATTCGGACTTTGAGACACTGTGGGAACACCCCAGTTTGTCTCCTCGTGGTGTTTTTGGCGTAGTTCTGTGGCTGTCTTAGAATGGGTAGGGTTGGCCTTTAATTTGGGATTTTCTGTGTCCAACCTCCTGAAGTAAAGTAGGCTGGCTCTTTTTGTTCAGAAGTGAAAAATGGTTGGAGGTTTCTCAACTTGGGAATTAGTTCTTAAACACCTCTATCACATAAGAAGCATGAAATGTTCAAAGCTTTTAGGGAATGCAAGAAGTTAAGATAGTTCTCTTTTTTTTCTTTCAAGTTTCTGAAGAAGATCACAGCAAGCGAAGCAGCTTTGTTTGCGTGTTGCTAAGCCATGGTGATGAAGGAGTCATCTATGGTACAGATGGCCCTCTTGACCTGAAAGCACTAACAAGCCTTTTCAGAGGTGACAGATGCAGAAGTTTAGCTGGAAAACCCAAGCTCTTTTTCATTCAGGTGATGTACAGCTAAACAATGATCATCAAATCAGCTGAATACTGAAAAAAAAATTACTTCCTGTTAGTTATTAGTGCAAAACAGTTCATTATTTCTAAAATTGATTTAAATGGAATTACCTTCAGAATATGGTTCTCTTCAGGTCTAAAAGTGGCACACTGCCCTATTAGGTAGGCACTACTTGTAATAGCTGAGATTACTTAATTCATAGAATTAAAGTAACGCCAAATCTTTTCTGAACACTAGCCAATAGTTTAGTGAGTCTCTGAATGCGCTTTTGTATTGATAGCTATCTTAGCAAAACTGTGTAGTTAATTTAAATAAATTATAGTTACTTTTCTTCTGAGTCTAATTAATGGAAATGTGACATACAAATACTTGTTATTTTTATAGTTTTTCATTGGGATATTACTGTCTTTAAAACGGGGGGGGAAAATCAGTATTTTGATCATGATCACTGCCTTTGTTTTTCTTTTTTTTTTAATTTTGTCTTCCATTATTCTTTCTACCAAATAGGCTTGTAGAGGAACAGAACTAGATTCCGGTATTGAGGCAGACAGTGGATCAGAAGAAACAGTGTGTCAAAAAATACCTGTAGAAGCAGACTTCCTATATGCATATTCTACAGCTCCAGGTGAGAGACTTGCAAAGAAATCTTTGTTCCTGAAATTGTACATACATACACCTTGTATTGATATCGTAAATGACAATTTGTAGTTTTATCCAGTCAGTGGGTGACTACTTCATTTGTTCTCTTCGGTGGAAATACGAATTTTCTTTCCTCAATCTTTTTTTTTCTCCCCTGATTTGATTTGCTTTTGATGTAATTGCCACTCTCAGTTCCCACAAAAAACGCCAAACAACTGAATATACTTCTTTCTCACTAGCAAACCCTCAAATGTTTATTTGCTGTAAATTTAGTTAATCTGAGCTGTGCACGTGATTTACAGCAGGAAATAGAAGATATTATTAGTTCTGAGAGAACAGAACAATTGGCTATCATAGAGGTGGTGATAGACACCAGCATCTTATTTGGCTGTCACCTCTATTTTCATTGCATTCTTAAGCAAAATTAGCAGTGGTAGAGCACACGGTTATGTTTCCAGTTAGCAGAAGCTCCAGTCTTTAATTCATGTATGTAGTCCTGAGGATAGTGACACAGTAATCCTTTTTGCATCTTGACTCCATCTGTACTGGCACTTCTTCTTCCTCTACGTATATTTTATCAAGAAACAGTAAGTGATTAATGGCTAAGACTGTTGCATCAGAAGATAGTTTTCCTGCCTTTTAGTTTTTCCACCTACTTAAAGTTTTCTTAGATTAGAAACAATGAGGGGATTAGAAAAATCTTTTGGGTTGGAGTTTGGGGAAATTATAAAATCTAAGTTTTGTTGGTTAGTGGTTTTAAGTTTTTATTTTAAAATATTGATTGATGCTAGAAACAATGCGTTGTTGCCCTAATTGCTATTCTCTGCTTTCTTAGAGGCTGCTACATCTGATCAGTGTGACATCTCTTTCTTTCACAGGCTATTACTCCTGGAGGAATTCAGCTGAAGGCTCCTGGTTTATTCAGTCACTGTGTAAAATGCTCAAGGAACACGCAAGGAAACTTGAACTCATGCAGATTTTAACTCGTGTCAATCGCAGAGTGGCAGAGTATGAGTCCTGCTCAACTCGGCAGGATTTTAATGCAAAGAAACAGATTCCATGCATTGTTTCTATGCTCACCAAAGAATTTTACTTCCCTTGCTGAAAGAATTTCACCATGTCATTTATCTGTTCATGTTTTATCTGTAATTTATATACAATGTTAGTATGGAATACCACTTTTAAATCTGAATTACTGTTCACTACTGTGTGTGACATAGTGAACTGTTTCAGTTAGGTATGTCCATTGTTAGAAGTAGCATATAGTATGGCTATGTTAGAAATGCAAACTTGAGCAGCTGAAGCACAGGCAAATTTGAAAGTAATGCTCTGAGTAGCGTGCAAAATTAGGAAGAGGAGACTGAAGAAAGGTCAGATCGCTTATCAGGTCTATTTGGTGCTACATTTCACTTTGTTGAAGGGGCAGAGAAAAGAAACAGTTCTTGTAAATAATTTGATTTCATATCTTTGCCAGTAGGAATAAGATTCAGAATGTGACATGTTTACTAATTATGGTAATACAGTAGTAGTGTCATCATACCTTTCTTCTTAACTTGAGTCCTTAAAGTTTAGGTTATAAACCAACCTAAACTGTTTTTATAACTTGGGGCATAAACTGTGGAAAAGAGCCGTTTCATTTTTTACATACAGTTAGGAAGTGTATTTAGAATACAGTCAGCTTCTTCCTGATCATTTTATAACTTTTTGTATGGAGTATTACATAAAGCAATTTTATCAACACAGTAGTTGTTTCAAAATAAATTTTGTATTACTGACTTTGAAGCTGAGTCACTAAGGGACCAGTCTTCCAAAATTTCTGCAGCTCCCTAAAGGAGGAGCTGTTAAGGCATATTTTGGGCTGTAAGGTTCCTCTTCCTGGCCATAAATTGGGGTGGGTTTGCTTTGTGCTGCATGCATACCACATTTAATCTGTGTGGAAACCTAGATATGTGGTACTGGAGAAATTTAACTTTTTAACTCTTAATATCAATTTGAGTTAATTACAAGACTTTAGCTAAAATATGTTAACAAATAGTAAATTTGTATCTCTTGACTGAATTTTGTGGAACAGGCTTTTTCAAACTTGTAAAACACTTCTGTTGATGTTTCAGCTTGTGGTGGTCTTTTTTTAAGATCAGAGGAAGACAAAATCGCAAATGACTATAGGGTGCTTGCAAAACAAAACTTACAACTCGCTAAATGGTGTAGCATAAACTCTGTTAGCAAATTGATGTTCCCTTCCAGAGGCATTTGGTTTTGGTTTTGGATTTTTACTTAAATTAAATACTGTTTCCTAAATTGTATTATGCTTTTCTATGTATATTATTTGTTTAGGATCTGATAGCTTTTGCAAATTAATTTTAACTTCAATTATGTCCCTCTTTATCAAAATACTACTTTCCCTTTTCTTCCCCATCTGCCTTACCACCTGAAGTTTAGAGGAAGCTGCTCTAAAGCACCGTGTACCATATAACCAGGTAATAAGAGCAGTGATTTGAGACATGGGAAATGCAGGTTCAAAAGTTGCAGAGGAGGCAATTTTAAACATCGCAGGTGAATTCTCTGATAACCACCTGCCAAATAAGAGGAACCTTGTCTGTTTCTTGTAGAAATGTTTTGTGAGAGGGTTAGTCTGTTTTAACTAATTGAAACTTCAATTCCAGATTTATTACCCACACTTCTATTGAAAATCTAAATAGGCCTCTGTTAAACAAACTGAAAATAACATTTACAAAAACCTGTTTGTAGGTTTCTTCATGTAGGTTGTGAATTACAACGAGCAGGTGCACAGTTATATGTTGTAAATGACTGACAGGACTTCTGTTACTCTGTTTCAAAGTAATTTGCAGTAGGAAAGTTCCTTGAATTATTAGTTACATTGCTGTGAAAAAGTTCATCACGGAGTTTGTTCTTCCCTTAGCTCTAATAGGTTCTGGTCTTGATCCTCCCTGGTCCTTTAGAGGAAAAATTATTTTACAACTTTTACAATAGTTTTTAAAACAGAGCAAAACAAAATCAAAGCTAAGCTACAATGAGTAACCAGTCACATAGGAAGATGTATTTTTTTGAAAGAGGTAATATTGCTGTCTGTCCTCCTATCTCAGGGCAGGAGCTGCATTTTACTCCAACTCAGTAAATTCCTTTTATAGTGCCAGTAACTGGGAAAATGTGATCTAGTTAAAGGGTTGAATTTAGGGGAAAAGGCAGTGGAATGGAAGATTGAAATTGAAAAAGAGATTAAAGAAATCTTGTGAAACATTGTATTGCTTATCACTTACTAAATGTGCTGATAATTGTGTGGACTGGGTGGAGCAAAAAGTCTTGAGTTGCTGGTAAGAACCAGAGAGTGGTCTCAAGAACCAGCTAAACCCGACCCCCTGGATTGGGCAAGAACCGGAGAACAACTGAGTCTGTGCAAGAGCAAAAGGTTACTAAAGGTCACGAAGAGGAGCCCTCCACGACTACCACCAGAAGGCACTGCGCAAGCGCAGTTAGGAGGAGTTTATGTAAATAACTTCCTGGAACTAATTTTAATACGAAGCGGGGATAGGTCATGCATATGTATAGGTGTATTGGGAAATCTTATGTATATGCAACACTTTACCGCATATAACCTCAGTGAGCTGCAGCGTCAGGTGCGCACGATCTGGAGAAACTTCTCCCGTGCTGCCCACGCATGAATAAACATACCTACTTTACAATCTTACGGATTGTGGGGTTTGCTTTGTATCCGCACGTCAAAATAGAGTAAGCATGTAGGACAGAAATGAGGAAAACAGGACAATTAAAACCATAGTCTGTAGGGTGATCCCTAGTGTATGAGGACCACCCAAAATAGGTGAAAGCCAAAGTATAGAGGCACAATTGCCAGTATATCAGTCCTGTAAGTGTTGGTGGGATAAATCACAGAAAATTGGAATAAGGTAGAGAAGTGGAAGCAAAGTAAAAGGAAGGATTGCACAATGTAGTGAGAAGGAGGAAGCTGCCTTAGTTTGAGTGAAGCTGAAGGAGAAAGGAATAGGTGATTTATGCTAAAAACCTGGCAGGAAGCACATGCCTGGGAGTCAGTTTTACAGCCTGCTCCACTGGTAAAGGGGCAGTTAAACTGTCTTTTTGTTGTTGACACAAACTCCACTGCTCACCCACAAAGGAGCCCAGCAAGACAATGGCAGGAGGGGAGGCCTAAACAATACCCTGCCCTGCAGAGCTACTCCGAGGCCCATCACTGGAGCCATCAGCCCATCAATGGCCCATCTCCACAAGCCCAGAGGTGCTCAGTGGCACAAAGACAGGCACATACCCACATAAGGACTTGGAGGCACAGACACTCTGTGTGGGGTCCTCCAGGGCTGTCCCAGGAGAGCCTCAGCCCCAGGATCCAGGTGTGAAACCCATCAAGGTGAGTCATTGCAGGAGCACCCATTGCATGGGATGCAGGGGAAGAGCATTTAGGGATTGCATGGGATTTATTATGAGATGTGTATTTTTGGAAAGGGGTGGGTTTAGGCGATGTGGGGAGGAACCACTGTGGGAAAAATTGGGGTGCAAGGAGATAAAAAAAACTGGTCACACATAAATAATTTGCTGGTTAGTACACTCATCTGGCCATGCCCTGAGCCTGATCAGCACAGTCTGTCCTGACTTCTTACTAAATTCTGGCTTAACTGTTCCTGAGTGGGGGACTCTGTTCTGTGTGTGCATCAGGGACCAAGTGCCACCAACTGGAGTCAGGCCACTGATCAGAGCACTTGTGTATGTGTGTCATTCAGTGACTGGAGTGAACTAATTTATGTGGCAGCAATGGGAGTAGCATCTTCGGTCGCAGGGGTCCATGTGCTTGTGGTGCCAGCATTTGGAGAAAGTGCAGATATGGATGCCAGCAGCTGGGCTGGGACTGTGGGCTGGAAGGCCTGGGGAAGGCCTTCATGCCAAGTGTGGCTGCAGCTTCTAAGCTGAACTGGAAAACACACCTCTGTTTTTTCACCTAAAGATACAGGTATTTGTGTGGCTAACTGGATCATCAGTGCAAATCATGTTCAAAAAGCCTGACCTTAGTTGTTTTGCTGATTTGAAAAGCCACCAGAACCACAAACGTTTCATAAATCAATGATGAAATTAGCAACGATGGCATCTGATTTTTACAAATGTTTACTTTTCTAGCAAAACTAACAAAATATACCAAATGCTTCTCATTATCAGGAAAAGCAACCTTTCCTGATATATATATATCCTTCCTCCTGCTAATGGCTGCAGGCAGCAGGACTGAACTTCTGTTTGTTTGACATAACAGGGTCAGAGAGAAACTACGGCTTCATCACCACAGGGTGTCACTGCAGATAGCATAATAATCTCCAAAACACATTAATGAGGAATTTTAAACCAAACCCCAAAGCCTCCTGAATGAGGCAGCCCTTTCACACCTCTCAGCGGTTGGTTGCTGTCTGTCAGCTTGAATGTTTTAACATCCTGGGACTTGCATCCCGAAGTACTTGAGCACATAGCAGTGTTACTTCCCAAAAAACCTCCCCATCTTTCTCATTGCATACCAGAATAAACCAGAATCAGTTCATTTTGAGGGGAAAAAAAAGGTTGTATCTTGTCCTAGACTTACCCAGAGAACACTTCCAACTATGGAGCATCTCCCTCTGCAGATACCTACGGTACCACTGATAGTCCTGTTATGTTTAATAAAAAAACCCCAAACACAGGAACCCCAAAAAAAGCTTCTGCCATACCTGTGGTGATGGTCTTCAAGCAGAAGGAAGGTGCAATAGCTTGCTTTGCCTGCATCATGAAAGGTGATCTGAGCGGTTTAAGAGTACCTGATGCAAATATGTTCCCATGCATGAAGAGTGCCACCACAGCATTCCATGCCTATTAAGAAAATACTAGTTCCATTTATTTAACCACAAGATCTATAAAGAGAGCAGTGAAAACAACCAGCACTGTGCGATATACACATCTGTACAAAAACATAAGTAATACTAAACTATGACAGCTGACTTGCAGAGGGATTTTGTTTTGTAGGATCCTTCTTAACAGACACAGAGTTTCCTCTTTCACTCCCTATCTACTACTTGTACTAAAACCAGAACATTTTGGGTTCCCTTGTATCCCATTCAGCTAAAAGCAGCTTCCTCAGACACACAGCCCATACCTCTGCTGCATGATACAATGCAAACAGGCTGGTTCAAGACAGATGTAAG